GGCACTTTGCAACATCTCGAAAGACCTCATTCAAGTAACATAAATAAAAATGTTTGAAGACATAAATCTCGAAAAAACACTTCTCGGTTGAGTTCCCGAATGTACTCCATCATCCATCATCTTCTTAGGACTGTAACTTAATGGCTTAGGCATAATTTGTCTTAATCGACTGTTCGCCAGGCACTAACAGAGGTCAGAATTCATTGTTTCATTTCTTCTATGTATATTATACGCCGAGACGTTCCGAGCAGGCTTAGTATAAGCTGCAGGTCCCTCCATTTGTTGGAAAAACATCAAGACGCAAAACCACAAATAGGTGAAGGAGCTCTGCCAAAAAATCGCTTTAGGGTTTACAAAGCGCCAATTATATATATAATATATAACTAATATATAAGACATACAATAGCAAAGTGGTAAGCATGGCGTGCCAACATTCGGAACGTCTGGTCCGAAAGAATGTGCTTCGCACACTTCGCTCAACTTATGGTCAACATAATCGTCCTACTATTCATAACATCACCCATCTTGGGACACCGCATTCATTATTTGATAATATTCGACCAAATATACCATGTCCGGACTGTCGTATGGAACAATTTGGCGTATTTTACGTTGAAATCTTAAATTAAAAGCGTACAAAGTACAGGTTGTGGAAGAACTCTGAAAAGTTCTAAGTAGATCCGATGTTTTCGAACCAAATTTTACTCAGCGATTAGGCCCATTTCTGGTTCAATGGGTATGTAAACAAATGGGTATGTAAACAAGCAAAATTGCCGCCTTTGGGACGAAAAGTAATCTAAAGAGATTAAGGAGCTGCCATTTCATCCAGAAAACAACTGTCTGGTATGTTTTGTGGGGCGGTGGAATCAATGGATTTATTGAGTGAACAGTTCCGTAAGCTAAACTATTTCTTTGAGGGCTATGAAAGGTCTTAAGTTTTTGCGAACAAACCCTCTGTCATTCAGGCCTTGAAGCAAAATACACGCGCGTCGTTCAACAGTAACATCTCCGAAATGCTCGAGCGTCTCATCGTAAGTTGGACTCAACGAATAGACCATCTGAGATGTAGCCGCGGCCCACATTTGTAAGTGGTAAATCTCAGAAATAAATGCCAAAGAATGTTCTTCTTCAATAAATTTTTTTCTTTAAATTATATATATAAGGACGAAGTCTCCCGATGAAAATAATTTTCATTGTTTATTCTATTATAGCTTGTTTTTTTTTTAATTTTTATCCTTTATAATTTGTGTTCATTTGCTTTATTTTTTGCTAAATGATAGAATATTTGAAAGAAAATATTTTCGTATAAAAACGAGCTAATAACGAGATATGCGACGGTACTGACAGAGTACACGATACATCATAAGGTCATGAACAAACTTCAGCTTTCAAAAGTATTCGATTCAGGTCCCACCGGCGAAAGCAGAGGAACTGATGCCACACCTCCCTGAAAGGCAGATTTGTGGCTGTTGAAATTAAAGTTACCTCGTGTAGGGAAACCTAACTCCTACGTGTACTTCATATTTTTCCTTAAATAAAGATGAAAATATCTTTACAACAACTGTTGGATGCGACCTTACAAACGAAATATTATTTCCTTGACTCACAGTATTAGGAGGACTGCCCTTTTGCTGTTCTTACTTTAACTTTATCTTCCCCATGCTTTATTTAGATAGTTATGTAGTACTAAAGAACTAGTAGTACCGGTGCTCAATACTAGTATTTCAATATGGGTTAGTGCAACGGTCCGACCGCAGAAATTTCATTGTAGATTGGCTTTAGTGTATTAGATTTCTCTTCAGCTTAATATCCTATCAAGGAATACAAAACCGGAACGACCCGAATTTTTGTGTAGTCTTCCCGCTATTTTCGTCGTTAACCAATTCCCGTGTTACAACAACAACAACAACAACAACAACAACAACATTTTGTCTCTCCACCAGATTCACTAAAATTCAGTTGTGCCGTCAATCACTCAGTGTGGGCGCTTAAGATGTTTGTCTGAAAATAAGAATCCCAATATTATTTATCGAAAGAAATTGGGACACATTAGTACTTAAGTTGTCTCGATGAACCTGTGTTAGAACAAATATGTTTTTAAAGCGTATTCAACTGCGAAACCTTCTTCCACGTTCCTCTACAGAAAAAGTTCGTTATCTGAACCTGGCTAACTTTGGCCACATCTTTAAGTCTATATTGAAAATTTTGTAACAAAGAAGTTTTTATAAATTTTAGACACATCTTTTCCACAATTATCACTTTTAGCATATTAGCATTTACCCTCAAAAATCATTCGAAATCGACATTTCTCCAGTTCTTATAAACATTTTGCCAAAACATTCGCCTATTTCATAACACCTGTCATGCCATTTTCGCCAGCAAATATTACAAGTGACACAACATACATATGTATGTGTATTTATGTACATGTATTACTTGAAGGGAAATTTCCGTTTAAATTAAAACTCACAACTAAATCGCCGTCTAAGTGCTTTTCCACTTCAACTTGGCACCGACGAGTGGCAAATAAATACTGGAAATGAATTTAATTTCCGCAAATCGTTACGAAACTAGAAACTTTGTGGCCACCGCATCGCAAAGTGCAAAAAATGCACAAAAATAAAAATACCAGAGTATAAAAATGAATTTGGTGAACTTAACGATGAACCAAGGAAATCGATTGGAAACATTTCATCGAAATTGCAACTTAAAGTGTCAGTACAATGTGATGCTTGATAAAGAGAAAAAGTAGAAAAAGACATACGAGTGTTTGTTGCTCATAACCAGTATTGAAGCTCACAGAGGGCAAAGCGCAAGGTGTTGATGTTGCCTCTTGCGGCCTCCGATTGATATGAAGCAACGAAAAGCGTGTAGTGTAAATTGATACCAGAAGTAGTTCACGGTTGTATTGGATTTTTTTCAAATGCCAAATCATAATACAAAAATAGTTGGATATGAACTTTTGACTCTGTTCGTTCAAAAGTTCGTGGTATTTTTAAAATATTGAATGTGTTGCCCATATTATTACATTTCTTTTTAACAATGGATTTACAATGAAGGCTCTAATTTTCCTACAGTTTTACTTAAAATATGTAATTTCATGTTTTCAAACAAAAATTTTTTAGTTCGGAATTTCAGTTGGCACCCAAGAAAAACTTCAGAATTGGATGAAACCGAGGTACTTTTATAACACTATATATGTATATGCGTATATTACCAACAGACATTGTTGTTGCTTTCTGGATTTTGGTCAAATTTTATTCTAATTAATGTTGAAAAAAATCCTAATCTATGACACATACAAATTATTCAGTTTTTTCTATACTATGTATTGATCGAACTCCTTATTTGTGTGTGTGAATCACTTCTTCGCTGCTCAAAGTTTTTCAATCCATTCGGATCTATGCTTATTAAGACCCAATTCAAAAGTAGAAGAATTGCTTGTAACTGTATATATATATTCCAAACGTACTGACTTTTGTCAATCTGTCAGTGATCTCTTTCCGGTAGAAAAAGTATTATTTAGGTTTCGAGCAGATCGAACTTGGTTCCAGGCCTCTGGTCAATTTCCAGAAAGCAAAAGTATGAAATTTATGCATCTCTTCGGCCCACTACTCGTAAAAAATATAATTTCATGTATAAGCAAATATAAGTAAAGTTCCGTATTCTTTTTAGAAAAATACCCAGAAAATTCAAATTTAATCAGAAATGTTTATTATCATTCGAAAGAACATTATTTGGCATTTATTTTTTGCAGATTCTCACTTTCAAATGGTGGCCGTGGCTATGTCTCAGATGATCCATCTATTGGTTCTACTTCTCGACGACTCGCTCGAGGATTTCGGCTGGTAACTGGCAAATAACGTGCACGATATTTTGTTCCAAGGCCTGAATCGCATCAGGATTGTACTCATAGACTTTAGACTTCACATATTGCCACAAGGAGGGCCCAACGGAGTAAGATCACTTGATCTTGGTGGCCAATCGACCGGACCAAATCGTGATAATTTCCGCTTACCGAAGTGTTCTCTCAGTAAATCCATTGACCCCATCGGCCCACAAATCACACCAAATTGTTGTTTTTTTTTTTGCTTAAATGACAGCTCAACTCAGACTCAACTCTACCGGTTGCTCTTCGTCTCATTCATACCCATTGAGCTTGAAATAGGTCTCATCGCTGAGCAAAAGTTGGCTTGAAAACGTCTGATCTTCTACGAACTTTTCAAGAGCCCATAGAGCGAAACGATGTCGCTTATGAAGTACGAGGGGGTCAAATTCTTGCACACACTGTACTTTGTACGCTATATGTCCTCGGTCTTCATGTATACTCTCAGCTGCGATCGCTATTTTTTCTTCACTCCGTACTGCACGTGGCCTATTCAATCGAATATTATCCAATAATAAATGTTGGGTCTATAGATGGGTATGTTGCCCATAAGTTAAGCGAAGAGCGGGTAACACATTTTCTACCGAAAGTATATATGTCCGAATTCGGTATCCCTTCAAAACTTAGACGACAGTGAGACTGAGTAATACCAAAAGCTCCGTCAGGATCGAGAGGATCTCTGCAAGCTGTATAGTACCACACTAGGTTTTAGACAGGCAGATGAACATACTCTCTTTCGTTTCTCCTTCTCCTAATGCTGGCATCAAATTAAAGCGTACCACTACTGGTGCATGTCTATGATATTCTGCTTCTTCTAAGCTGAAGAAGTGAAATGTAGGTAGTTGAAAACCAAAGTCAATTTTCCACTGAGAGCTCTTACTCAGAGCTGCTACTCAGGCGATTCACAGATCTGAGCAAAAGGAAAGTCGAACAGGGAACTCAAGGATTGAATAAATCTATTGGGAATTATTCGCCAGCTCTGATCTCAACCAGCTAAATCTTACAATTCGCTTGGCATTAGATTTCCAACTGCGATCTTATCCAAATTTTAGTTTCACGATGTGGACCGTAACATGTATATATATGTTGGCTATAATATAAAGACCTAATAATATAGAGAGGGACCTATACAGGCTTAAAAAATCCTTTTTATTTATTTTAATTGTTATATATTATGTATATAAATTTTTTCTTTCATGAACTTTACCTTCACTTTGAATTTAACGGGTAGGTGATTTCCCCCATTGAATTTTCCATAGAGCGCGGAGAGCATACCAATCGATTTGCCGGTATACCGCCCATTTGCGGATGTATACGATCGCATCGTCCATATTTCGCATTTGTATATTCTCCTTTACAAAATTGTTTTCTTTTCAAATTGAATTCCAATCTTGACGAAATCATAGACGAACTGCTCGTTTCGGTTGGCGAATCCATAACGAAACTACCAACTAACGATTTTCTCCCATTCATTTCCGATAATCTCGAGTGAATACACGTGTTTATCATACTTAAGTGTGGCGTGATAAGAGAGATTACTGGTAATACTCTACCGTCGTGGCTCACTGATTTGGACGTCAACGAAATATTATCCTCATCAAATTTTGTCTTTCTTATGATCTCTCGTACCGGTTTTCTGGGTTGCACCTCTTTTAGGGAGACGTGCCCTGTGGGTTTTTCTAATCTTTTTGTTTGATCTATGCGTATCTTACCGCTGCTGCTGTATCTCAGCGATAAATGTGTTTTAGAGCTCAACTCAAAGCTTACTCTGGATTTGGGCTTCACAGTCTCTTTAGTGGATCGGGACATTTTTAAGCGCGGATATATTTTGTTATCTTTCAGAATATATGTATAATAAATGAGTTGTCATGAATTTTAATTTGCTTTTCAACAGTTTGGAAGTACTAAAGTTCAAAACATTTTCAAATCGTCAAGATTGAATTTTTTTCTGTCACTGGTTGCTTAAAAGACTGTAGGAAAAATATTTCGCTTGTTAAGTCGGAAAGCGTAACTTGTAAAGATAGGGCACTGATTTTCACTTGGGTGTGTCTCGTTAAAACCTTTAGTTTTATACAACTCTGGGCTTTCCGGTTGTTTTCCAAAGGTCACAAGGCATCACAGCCTGGTGAAATCAAGGTAAGTTTATATTTTTTTATATTTCTTCATAGCAAACAGATACTTCGATTAACGTTTTTCGATCATAGAACCTCAGGCATTGATCCCAGTCGAGCCAAGCTCGAAGAACTCAAGGCTCTTCTGAAGCAAAGAACTTATCAATCGATATTCTACCCAACGTCAGCAAACCTATAAACTTAATAGGTTTAACCGCCACCCTCGTACTAGCGGCTCAACAAGTTTGACTTGGATGTAACTTTGCGAGTCCATAATGTTTGAGCGGTATGACGGATCCACCAGTATTTTACTTTACTTGGTATCAAGATTGATTTCAATGGGGTTGACGGGGAGTCAGCATCGATTCTTTGACAAACCGAAAAAGATGTTATCTTCTTGGACGCTCTCTACAAATTTCTTCCCAAAAAGTGTTCTTAATGACTAAAACTTACCTTTTTAATGATATCAACAACTAAATTACAAAAGTATTATGATTTTTATTGGAAAATATCATATAACGATATATTAATATATGTGTGTCTTTACACGAAATATAGTGATAGTATCATTTAGGCGTTAAACAAGACAAAAATGTATGAACCTCAGCTTAATCTCAAACTCGTTTTCAACTTATACAGCGGGCCGTAAATTGAGTTTTCCTTTGGAGCTTGTTATGTATGCCAAACTTTCGAGTGCGATACTTCCTAACTGTGAATGTAGTTTATTGTATCGTGCATTCTTTGCGCTCGTATACTCTCCTCTACAAAAACTACTTACAGCGGTGCTGCCAATTGAAACTCTTCTGTTTGTCATCAATTGTTTGGAATATGGATTCATTAGCCGTTGTTGGGTGTTATCGCTACACGTATAAATTCTTCTACTTCCTCCGGATTGAGTTTGCGGTTGCTCGTAGGATTGTGCCGGACTAATGAAGATGGTACCTTTCCGTCGATTTCATAGTGTACAGAAGTGCCACCTGCTGCAGCACGCTTTACTGCCACTTGAGCTTCAGAATTTTTCTTCGACGAATTATTTACGTCCTCGGTTTGTCCGTTGATTTAGGGGCTGTATTTACCCCTAAAAACCATAAACGACTCTATCTAGCAAAACGGCCAGACACGGGTATTTTTTTTTGGTTCTGGTTTCCGAAAATGTTTAATTTTTTCGTGGATCAAAAATCGTGTCGGACGGTGTAATCAAACGGTAAATAGCGCAGACCGTGAGATCTTCCTTTTTATGAATTGGGCAGAGCTGATATGAAGCTCATAAATGTTGTCAGCCCCAGCCGCATTGTTGTTTTTTAATTCATGGTCAAGTAATATAACGCCTTTTCCATCATCATCGATAGGGGTTTCGGAATCCCTATATCCGATGTTCCCTCCATACACCAAATATGCTCTGCACATCGGTCATCAGATTGGTGCATTGATTCCTACATGTGTTTCTTCTGGTCTTGAAACCTTCTGTTAGTCACCATATCTTTTCGTAGAATTTACGAGCATTACTCTCGTCGACCAGCTTCTCAAGCTCTTCATACAATGCATGCAAATTCATTCTGCTTCTCTCTTCAGCTCTCGGTTCTATCCTAGGCAGTATGTTTTCTCTCCACTGCAACTCGACATTCCGTATCGTACTTGTTCTTTTTCAGGTACTACCGAAGACCAATTGTTTCCATAGAGGTGGTCCTCCGAGACGAGAGCGTATCTTCGCTGCGACAATACAGCGATCCGAGTCGATTTTAAGTCCTCGGAACGTGAGCACATCTAGAAAACGGGAGATATGATTTCAAACATATATATTCACCTACCTTGATCGAGCCTTCAGTCCCCGGCGAAATCGTTCAGCCATTACGTCATGTTTCATCATAGAGACTGAATTTCCCTACTGATGTGAAAAAAATACCTTCTCTGATTTCCTTAATTTTCACATCGTTGCCTGTTGTAGACACTCATAGAGAGCGTTTTGGTCGCATCGACCTTGTCTTCCATCGGGGCGTGAGCGCAAGTCGTCTCCGTTCTTGTTCCGTCCATCGAATTTCTTGCACAGCGGTGATGTTGACGAGCTGAGCTACAACACCTTCATAATTAAGGGGCCGGACATTCCAGGTGCATGTCTTCAAATCGCGATCTTCGTCGGTAGAGGTCATCATAAAAAGGGAAGTATCTCATCGAATTTTCATTGCAGTATTTTTTAATGTTTCAGGTCCCAAACCATACGCATAACCGCAAGGAATTCATCTTATAGTTTTTGCTCGCCACCAAAAGAAAGACTGTTGGCTACCCACAGAATACTTGGTCTAAGACCGCAAGCGCTGAAAGTTCACCAGTCTTCTTGAGAGAGCTCACTTCTTTTTACAAGTTTTTAAGGTTTGACTAAAGACTCACTGGTTAGCTAGTTAAATGAATTTCTGCTTCAGCCCAAAATTTGCGGAATTTCGTAAAGCTCTAATTTATCTGGACACTTAATAGAATACTTTCAGTGAATCACCTCCTCTCTCTCAATTGCATTTCGGCCTCGGAATGACCTTAAGGAATTACTCAAGTCCTCATCGGAATCGCTGCTGGTCAGCGGTCCTTCATTACATTCTTTAACTCTTTTCCTAAGCTCTAGATGACTAAAGGACTTGATTTTCAATTTTTCCCTTTTTGGTGGTATCTCGCTGATTTCGAGAAGACTATTAAACCTTTTTATATGAAAAAATTAATAAAACTAGAAATTCGGTTGCAACAAAGATGTAGCCCATCGCTCAGAATACTGTTGGTGAAATATTGCGACAAATTGGCCTTAGAGGATAGAGCAATCTACCTGCTTTGTGGTAGCTTAGAAAAAAAATACCCGCTTTTAAATTGCAAACTAGAGCCAAAAATATGTCTCTCGTTCTGATATACTTAAAGTTACTGACTAGAGATTATGTGCAATAATCTTAGTTGAACCTCTCCGAGGAAGAAACGACTGGCGCTCTACGCCGATGAAGAAGCGACGTGACTCACAAACTTCATTCGCTTAATCACTCGCAAATCATCTATCATAACAGAGAGGCCTTAAAGTACTAAAGTTATATAAAGTCCATTCATATTTTTTACTTGTTTCCAAAAATTGAAAAGTTTTTTACTGAATTCATGTCTAGACAACAGTTTTTGCGCAAACCGCCAAATCAAGCGACTTTGTAATTTTTAGAATCTATTATGTTTTAGTCCAACTGCATGGAATTTGCAAGTTGGATATGAACATTTCACGTATGTAAATATGTGCATGTACATATACACGGTGTGTCCCAAAAATAACCGAACTTGGATAAAATAGGTTCCATTTGACTCAACACAACGTTTGGAACGATCAACCAGCGCATGCATAGATTTTTTTATGTCATTTATAGAAATGTTCTTCAGTATCTCGGTTACGGCTGCTTAAAAGGCTGGGATATCATCATAAATGCTTCTTTCATCTTGGTTTTCAGTTTTGGAAATAAAAAATAGTCACATGGTGATAGATCAGGCGAATACGGAGGATGGTCGATGAGAAAAATCTCTTTTTTCATTAAAAATTCGAGCGATTTTTTGGTCATCATTTAATTCATGTGGAACAAATCGCGCACAGACCTTTCTTTGCCCCAAATATTCAGTGAAAATTCTCCAAATAGTGTTTTTACTCGTATTCAATTCCTCAGCCAACATTCTCGTAGTAAAATTTGCATCGATACCAATGATTTCACGGACTTTTTCTACCAGCTCAGCACGATTACTAGTTTCTGGACGTCCTGCTCTGGGGTCGTCATTTAAGTCCGCACGACCATTTTTAAATCGTGTAAACCACGTATAAACTTGCGTACGACTCATACAATCATCACAATAAACTTTTTTCATTAATTTTTTTTTTTCAAGTTTGGCACAAAAATCTATATTTGCTCTTTGTTCCATTTTATTTTTGAACCATTAGCACACTTTTGGTTTTATTGAAATGGCTGTCACTTTTACATCTGTCATCCGACTTACATGATGCTAGGTGCGTTTGAAAGAGGATGAATGTATCTTTTTAATGTTACAAATTTCCAATAGATGGCGCTGTATGTTGTATGATTTAAATATAAAGTTCGGTTATTTTTGGGACACACCGTGTATGTATATACAATGAAGATGGGCACTGATTTTGCCAATCAAATTGTCAGTTTTCAATTGAGTTCATTCAAACAAAATCCATTCAAATGAAAATGCTCACAAAACAGCAGATTGAGTTTTTATGCGCTGTGTGAGAGGAAATGTGCACGGGCGTATTTTATTTTATACATATACAAACGTAGAGTTCTCATGGTTTATATGTATTAAAATTGATATAGATTTGTACGGGAATATTTATTTTTTTCATCACATAAAAACAATCATCAAACTTTTGGACAGAAATCAGCGAAACAATATTTTCTCGCATTCATTTTTTTAATTTGATTTTTTTTAAATTTTTGTTCCATTTGACTACCCATCTCTTTCATAAAGCTTTCAATTAGTAACCAATTTGACTGTGGAAATTATATGATTTTCATCGTAGCATAATTTTTTATTCGTAAATTTCCTATCAACAATCGATCAGCAATTATTATCACTGGCCATTTCCGTTTCCGCTTACTAATTTAGCTCTATTAATCGCATAGTGCAAATTTATCCTTGTGTGTGTGTGTGTGTGTGTGTTCATAAAGTAAATACCCCGCAGAAAATAAAAACGCGAGCGCTCCAAGCAAGAAGAACGAAGCACATCTCAACCACTGCTTAGCATCAGAGTACTCCATAAAGTGCCTTTAGGGAATTACATTTGAAACTACTTCACATAGAAAACTCCATGCAGTACCAGCA